GAAAATATGGCAAAATTTACACATAAACTGGATCCAGTGATAAAGCAAAAAGTACTGGAAATATTTTTATGAAACTTGACATATGGGTAGATGGCAGTCTTGAGATTATGCACGTCTTTTTCTTTTCTTCCTATGTTGAAAATTCTGGTTGCTATGGCAACACATAGACTGAAAATATGACAAATTTTACACATAAACTGAATCCAGTGATAACTCAAAAAGTACTGGAAATATTTTTATGAAACTTGACATATGGGTAGATAGCAGTGTTGAGATTATGCATGTCTTATCTGTTCTTCCTATTTTGAAAAAATATCAGTTGCCTTGGCAACAAATAGGCTTAAAACATGGCAAATATAACAATATTTGTGATTAGTCAAAAAGAGCTGGAAATTTTTATGAAATTGCATCTTTAATTCAAGAGTTATCTCCTCTTTAAGAATTCTGCTTTTAAAATGTTATATTTTGGTAACAGGGATGTTTCAAATATTAACTTTAGAGTGTCCTTCAGTCCGTCTGTCTGTCTGTTCATAAAAACTGTTTCCTGTGATCACTTTTAAAGAACTTTTCCAATAAGTTTACTTAAAATAGAGAAAAATTGAAACATAAGTGAATGGCCAATGGCCCTTCAGAATGTTGATGGGGTTCTAACCGGTAGGGGACTTATGGATTGCTTGCAATACTATGATAATTGCTTGTTTCCCGTGTATTACGTTATATTTACGTAAAATATTGTACTGACTTTAATCAATACATGTAATACTAAAGAAAACAAATTCTTATTTTTAGATTTTTGTTAAAAAGATTTGTATGAAAGCGCGTAATTACAATACGAATACCATAAAACGCTACACATATCATCTCAAACATTGACGGTTAACAGAAGTATTTGCTACTTAGCACCATTTTCAAATTGCAGACAACCAAATTGCTTCAAAGAGGAATGTTTTTTCATAAATAGTGTTCGTTCATTTTAAACAGTGCATTGATATCAAACATGTAAGTATTTGCTTAATATTATTATACTTTTGTGGATCATTTTACTGTGACTAAAATAATGCTTGTTTAAATTTTATTGATCCTTTAATTTTTAACTGTAAAAAATATTTCCTTATTTCTACTTCCGGGAATATATTAACAAACCAGTGCCTAATAATATCACTTTATTCGTTAAAAGCATGACCGGTAGCAATCAATTTGCTAACCATATTACATTATCTTTTTAGTAATGATTGAAACGACATTTAAAACAGGAAAGAGTTTACTGAACTTCCACATACAAGTTATGCGACACAATTTATAAGTAATTACAAAGATGTATGAAAATTTTACAATGCATGTTTGTAGATATTTAAATTATTTTTGAAGTTAAAAATAGCAAATATACAAAATATTTTTGATGAAATTATTAAAATAGTAAAACGACATGCATGTAGAATTTGCTGTTCTTTCTATTTTCATTTTAAAACAGTCATTCAGATTCTAACTTGATAAAGAAACAGATGTAGCAACAGAGACAGAGACGAACAAGGCAACTTCAGACTCTCGTGGCCAACTGTGACGCAATAAAAAAGCAGATATAGCAACAGAGACAGAGATTGAGAAGAACACCGCAACTTCAGACTCGCGTGGTCAACATGATAAAGAAACAGATCTAGCTAGAAACACAGAATCAAGAAAAAACATGAAAGTTTCTCCACATGATGACGTTTGGAAAACGTATCAAAACGAGGATTTCCCTGAACATTCCTTACTTGTAAATGAGACGGACAGTTGTTCCATGTTAGATGAAATGACCTGCAGGAACTTATAGATAAAAAAATACAAAATTTACTCAATAAACGCAGACAGCAAGATAATAAAAGATCAAAATCTGAAGATGAGTTTACCACATCTGATGAAATGCCATTAAAATTCCTAATCGGGATCATTGATGCCAGCACTATTTAGTGTTGAGAATTGAGTGCTGCTCAAGCCAGTGCTGGGGGCGTGAGGGATGTTACACTTATTCATTTACCTCATATACAGACTCAATCAAGCCAAGTCTGCAATTTTCATGTAATTTTGTTAATTTTTCCGAGGGATCACTTTGTTTTCAGATTTTTATACTTCACAACAACAGGTGTCAAGTGCTGTGTGGCAGCTGTAAAAAGTTGCCCCGTACCTCACTTCAGTGTTGTTATATTTCTCTTGTCCTTCGGGATCATTGATGCCAGCACTATTGAGTGTTAAGAATTGAGTACCGCTCAAGACGATGCTAGTGAATTTACCACATTTGATGAAATGCCATTGAAACTTCTAATCGGGATCGTTGAAAAACATAGTGATCATAAAAAACAAAGTAATCCCTCGGAAGCATTCATCACAACACAATTACATGAAAAGTTCACACTCAGTCTGTACATGAGGGATAATGAATAAGTGCAACATCCCTCACGTCCCCTAGGGCGGTCTTTAACCGAAATACATACTACGACCCAATCACTAATATTCTTTCCGACACCGTCACAAGTAGGCAGGAAAATGGAAAAGGTCGAAATTGCCATGCCCAAAAATAATCGTAAATTTCAACAAGTTTATGGAAGGTGTTGACAGACATGAGCATTTGAGAAGAAGTTACTCTTTGCAAAGATGCAGTACATGCTGGTGGACGTATTTCGCCTTGTTTGGGATAGACATGGCATTAATCAACAGCTACCTACTCTACAAGACTGTTCACAAAAGATTGCTCACAAGAAGTTTCGACTGAAGATAAGATATGCACTGTTTTGTGAAGATTCGGTTTAACAGTCAAATATATATTTCATGTTGTGGTTGTGACATCTAGCTTGCTTTAAAAATATAGCGCACAAATATTGAAATTTACCTATGGTTGATAGGAGAACGAATTGCAATGTAGCATTTATTGATACCAACCTTAAATCGTACGGCTTGAGGATTTTTTGTTTTATCTTTGTTTCAAAACGTAACGTGTATATATATGTAAGTGATTAATATACAAGAAGGAAAGTTTGTAAATGGCAATATTGAAGAGGTTTTTATGTAAACACTCTGCTGTTATTTAAATTATAAAATTATGTAGGATGCGTGACTAATTATGCTATATATTTTGTATTTGTTCTTCGTTCGATACAACTCAATCTTTTGTTGTAGCTGTTTGTTACAAAAAAAATTGAGTGCGTTTCAAAACGTAAAAAATATTGAAATGTGTTGCCTCCATGTGAACATATTGTAAGACAACCAAAGCGTATCATTTCCTAGTTTTATTTTAGCTTTCTACGTTTTCTAATGGAAATTTTGTTTGTTTATGTGTGGGCAGACATAACATACTTAACCATTGTTTCCAAGTGATGCTACTGCATTTTTTACCTAGTTTGTAACAATTTGTTTATATTTCGGTAAAGTTATGTAAAATAATCCATAGTGTATGAAAATGTAAAAAACATATGTTGAAACCATAGTGGCATTTTGATTAATAACTTAATCATTTGTCCACGCAATGTAAGCCGCAGTGTAAGTAACCGTAATGAATGATATTGAGTAACAGATCCACAGAGTTTCAATACGTAATAATTTGAAATAAATAATTATCAATTTTTACGAATATAGCTGGACAAATTTAAGTTTTGTTCTTTGCAACTAATTGCTTCAGAATTTGACTTATACAGAAAACTTGAAAACATTTTTAATTGATAGAGGAAAGTCACATAGTTGGTATCTTAAATTAATGTGTTTTTTGTAATTAATTAAAATTGTTATTGATAATTGATTTCATTATGTGATTATATAAACATCTAAGCAATTTGTTAACCCTTTATCATAATATCGTAATAAAATAGACTTTTAGCAAATGTTTCTGAAGATATTTTTTTCAAAACTCGAGGTGAAATGAATGTAAGTACATGTCAAAGTGAGCAAATCATTTAGACATAAAACTAAAAATGGTGGCCTTTCTACGCTCAATGGGCATGGCTTTCAGGAAGGCTATTTTTCATACCGTTTAATTACGTTATGGACGCCCTATGTGTATAGCCAGTGGTTTTTGAGAGATTGATTATTCCATACGTTTCATTCCGCTAGGTCCGTCGAAAGGATATAGAGAAAATGAACGGGGGGAATTGAAAGTGGCCGCAAAAGACAAAAGTCGCCTAATACACGTGGTCACATGGGCAAGTTAGACTGTATTTCTATACACTTGTTTGCAGTCCTGTTGCTGTTGGCCAAAAATACTTTACATTTGACACTAACCTTTAAATGACATTAAAGAATTTTATAAACCTGGTGCTTGTTTTTAAAAAGAAAAATACTTTTAAGATCTATTCCTTAAGGTGAGCGATATAGGGCCATCATGGCCCTCTTGTAGACTGTTTATTTTTTATTTTTGGAGGAAACAGACCCTAGATAATCAAGAGTTGGAGATCACTTATGCTAACAATAGATTTTTTACACTTTTCCGTATTATTATTTTACCAATGTCTCAAAATTAGAGGGTGGTCCTTTAAGCTTGTGTGGAGTTAGGGTTCACTGGATTCAAGGTCAAATGTGTTGCATTTATATACATTTGATAAATTTTTATGGTTAAGTTGAATATTTTTTAACTTCATCAGATAGCAATGACATGCCAACTTACATTTGTCTCAATTACACAATGCCTGCATGCAATTATTGATGGAGTATTGTTCAAATACTTCGTACAGTAAAGCCTTTGTGATTTTATTACTGCACATCCTACAACACATTCACAATTGATGCCTATTTCCTAAAGAGTCCATGTGACATGTGCTTGCATAATGCAAAATATGTCCAAATTCCCTATTTTCATATGAATGATGAACTTATGTTGACACAGAACTCCATCATTGAAAGGAATTTACATAAGTACATTAGTATTTACATTGTTTTCCAATCATTATTTTGATTGTTACATGTTTGCAATAAAATAGTGTGAGCTAAATTATTTGTATATTATTTGTATTTGTATCACATATTTGTTTTGACAGGATCCAGGAATTAGCAATGCACAGTCAACAGGGACATACCCACCATATGATAATGGTCTCATGATGAATGTATTCATTAAAAAACCAGATGGTTCTGGACCTATCATAGGAAAAGTAAGAATTATTTATTGATCTCATATTTTGTTGTTGATATGCACTAGACTTTTAGGGTAGGACTGAAGCACAATATTTTGGGGTTGATACGGCGCAATATCTTGTTAATATCCATAGAATAATTTAGAGGCTGATTGGCAGTTGAGTATCTTTCATTGATATGCGGCCGAAATGTTGATCTTTCTTGGATATGCGCTGTAATACAGGCAGTACCAATTTAACATCAGGGACAGAAGAAATGGATGGTGCCAGGCTGGAAACAAGAGTTCAAAATGAACTTAAAGGGAAAGGCAATGTAAGAATAAAAAACTGATATCAGAAAAAGAATACTATACTATTTTCTGCAAATTTTCTGCATTCAAATAATGATATTAAATGCTTGATAACAAAATTTAAATCGCTAAATCACCGATTTCTACAAATCAGTAGGTGTGGCCATGTTTGTGTATTGGCCGTATAAAAATAGGTGCGCGTGATGTCCTTAACCCACATATTTAGATTTACGATAAATAATTGTTGCATCGTAGCAAAAGATAAAGGTATTATAAATTATTGACGAGAGAAATAATTTTAAGCAGGATGTGTAGGGAAGAAGGTTTTTTTTTGGTTCAAAACACGTAACATAAAGAAACAAATAAAAAGACAATGGTCTACTTGAGCACAGGTCGCACCACTTTAGACTAAGTGAAGCCTGTTACTCCAAACAATGCTTCGATAATTGAAGTCTCATTTTAATGTAATTAAACACTATCTCACATTTTTAATAAATATCTGTGTTATTATTTAACAAAGTCTTGCAATCACTGAATGAAATCAAATAAACATTAACGCACCAACCAATAATGGCCAGTTAATGATTGAACAGCAATAATAATTATTATTATAAAAATCCTTCTAAAAAGTTTTCTTAATAGTAATTAAATTCTTGCAGTTTGATTCTGTACTTCAAATAAAAAGGTGTGAATATAGATTATAATTGATGTACACATTTCAAAAATATATGCAACTCTTTTGAAAAGTAAATTGTGCACAGGTATGTTGATCAGAGGGCAATGTTGCTGTGTGATATTTATTTACATCTGGAACTTTCCATTGTAATCGATGGTATTTATAACACAATGTTTCTTAATACTATTTCTATATATTTGTTCATTATACCACCGAAACAAAGTTTGGAGGGTATATAGGAGTCACCCAGTGGTCGGTCTGTTGGTTGGTCGGTCGGTCGGTCCAGCAGTCCATTGCATTTTCCTTGTCCGGAGCATAACTTAAAGACTAATGGTTGGAATTCAATACAACTTCAATCATACAATGGTCAAGCGCATTGAGAGGAAGTGCAGTGCACAAGAACCATAACTCCATCTTGACTAATTACAGAGTTATTGCCCTTTGTTACTTTTCCTTGTCCGTGGCATAACTTGAAAACTACTGGTTGGAATTCAAAACAAATTCATATAATGGTTAAGCATAATTAGAGGAAGTGCAGTGCACAAAAACCATAACTCTATCTAAAGTAATTACAGAGTTATTGCCCTTTGTTACTTTTCCATTGCTTTTTTTTTTTTGTCGGGAGCATAAGTTGAAGACTAATGGTTGGAATTCAAAACAACTTCATACTATGGTCAAGCACAATTGGAGGAAGTGCAGTTTACAAGAAACATAACTCTACCCAGAGTAATTATATAGAATGATTGCCCTTTGTTACTTTTCCTTGTTGCAGATAATATCATGAAAGCTACTGGTTGGAATTAAATACAATTTTGTACAATGGTCAAGTATATTGAGAGGCAGCGCAGTGCACAGAAACCATTATTCTTTCTTGACTCATTTAAGAGTTTTTGCCCTTTTTTACTTTTATTGTCCAGCGCATAACTTGAAAATTACTGGTTGGAATTCAATGAAACTTCATACAATGGTGAAGGGCAGTGAGATGAAGTGCAGTTCACAAGAACCATAACTCTATTTGGACTAATTACATAGTTATTGCCATTTGTTCCTTTTTTGTCCAGTGCATTACTTGAAAACTAGTAGTTGGAATTAATTACAACTTCATACAATGGTCAAGCATAATGAGAGGAAGTGCAGTGCTCAAGAACCATAATGATAACAACTTATACCCTGCCCTGGTTATGACGTAGGTACTGTAGCTACGTCATATCCTTTTAACACTGGCATCGAATGTTGTAACAATGGAAGAAATGAATTGTTGAAAAAAAAACGGAAAAAATCGCTGATCAAAACAGCAATCGATTGTAGTATCTTATAGATATAAATCGATAAGACGTCGCTGATTTTCTGTGTGCCCTATAAGCAGCATTTTTGTTGATATTTTCCACGATTGAAGCGGATTTGTTCTTGATGTCTTTGGTAGGAACATGGAACACTGAATCAAGCAGGATATTATATGGACAGAGAAGTTTTCTTAGTCAAGTCAGATTTAGATCTTCAAAACATTGTTGTCGAGAACAGTTTAATTTTAAATAATTTATATGCATTGTTTCGTGAAATGAACATAAGATTGTACTTTGTCTAGCTTTATGCTGACTGCTAAATTGACAATTTGACTATGATGATCCATGGATCTACTCTCCCCCACAGCTATTCATTTAGCTATGTCTGTTTCTCGCTATAATGTTAATCATTCGCGGTGTTTTAGTTATGATGGTAACGATGATGACTGTAATGAAAACCTTTAACAAAACAAAACAAAAAATGATGGAGGGTTCTTACATCTTTTGTAGATATACGATAATCTAGCTAGGTCAGTAGGTGCACTTTGCTATTTTCAATGGCGTAAAGAATGGTGGAAGCAATAAATTTGTTAACTTGTGCAAATTGTCCTTAATTATGAATAAATGTGTCTACTAAAAGGTTCATAAGAAATCAATTATTATTAATCAGTTTTAAAATATATTATATCTGCTTTTAAATCTTCAAAATAGATCTATAATTTTCTTTTTGCTGGACGAGATTGGAAGAATGTGATTAAAGACAATACACTACTGGTCTGTATGGGAAATGTGGAAATAAATGCGATGGTGATCAGCAGCATCTTGTGATGACTCCTGACATTTGATGAATTGTTAGTAGAGCTAGTAGTTTAGTTCCTTACAGTATTAGGTGAGGTATTAATCCTGTTTAAATGTTTATTTTATACATTATTTTACAATGTGGAACATGGGATCTATATGTTGAACAAATTAATTATTCAGTTATATTTCAGTATTTGTTATTATAGATGTGATTGAATACATTGCCTTATTTTAGTGCCTGTTGTTTTTTTTGTAAAATTAAGTATGCATAATTAACAAATTATGTTAGATAATAAGATAAGAAGGGGCTAAAATCACATTAAATAGAAATTGATAAATAAATGCACAAATAATTTTAAGATGCAGACTTCAATGCAACACCCATCACATGATTAAGATATTAGATAATAATTATTATAGAAAATTAATAAACATTATATAAAAATAAAATAATAACAATTAATTAATAGTAATAATAATAATGAATTGATAATAATATTAATAATAATAATAAATTATTAATAATGATAATACGATGTGATAATAATAATAAATTAATAATAAAATTAATTAAAAATGAATTGATAATAGTAATAATAATAATAATAATGATGATGAATTGATCTAATAATAATAATAAGAAGAAGAAGACAATCATGAATTCATAATAATAATAATAAAAATAATAATATATTGATAATAAAAATAGATTAATAACAATAATAATTTTAAATATTTGTCTTTGTTTGACTATTTATGTTGTTTATAATTCATGGTGTAGGCTACATTACAGTACAGATTTATAACAAATTATATTTGTCACTCAATTTATTGCAATTTTAAGTTGACGAAGTTGTAGTTCACTCTTCATTGTAAAATTTATTTTCCATTCCACCTTTTATTTACTTAACACAACCTAAAAAGATAAATATTTTAATATAATAAATGGATAGCTAATTTATTAAATGATTATGAACCTCTTTTAATGATTTAAACATAGTGAACACCATCCAAATATAAAACTTTTAATTTGAAAGGATATCATTTATTTATTTTTTACTGTTATAGTTTGACCATAGATCTACACATAATTAAACTTAAAACTTTAATTTAGAGGCCAGAAGTTTTTAATTTAGAGGTTAGAAGTTTTCCATTTCTTTAGAATTTCTTATAACCTTATGCTATATAATAGGTACTCATTTCCCAAAACTAGTGATAAAAGTGAACACGCTTCTTAAATTTTAGTGTTAAACACTGTTGATAATATTTTCACAAAATCATGCATTCAACGTTTAACTTTTCTTTGTTGAATGTTGTTTAAAGGAAAATCATTCAAGACAGTTTTCTCTTGGCTTTAGTATAATACACAACTTTGGTTGAATTGCAAGACCATTTTTTTTATTATGTAAACTAAATAGAGGGTTTGATATTTAAAATGTTAATATAAATTGCTTACTTTAATTTCGGTGTTGAAACAATATTACATTGTACAAAAAGTACACCCTATTCAATTTCAAAATAACATGGTTATGATATTAAACTGACATTGTGCCCATTTTGTCATGGTCAAGTTGTGCTGAATTGACTTTTTAGCTCACCTGAGCTTGCTCAGGGTGAGCTTTTAGGATCGGTGAATGTCCGTCGTCCGTCGTCCATCCGTCCGTCGTCCGTCATACGTCAACAATTGCTTGTGAACATTCTAGCGGTCGCATTTTTGCCTCAATCATCATCAAACTTGGTCAGGATGCTTATCTAGTTGAAAGCTCGGATGAGTTCGAACATGGCTCATCTCGGATGAAAAAAACTAGGTCACCGGAGCTAAAAATAGAAAAACCTTGTGAACACTCTAGAGGTCACATTTTTGACCCAATCATCATCAAACTTGGTCAGGATGTTTGTCTAGGTGATAGCTTGGATGAGTTCGAACATGGGTCATCTCGGATGAAAAAGGAGGTCACCGGAGCTAAA